GACTTTGGTGTAAGGGCGGGGAGGATGAGGAAGAGTATGTCGATTGGTGTTGCGACGAAGAGGTCGGCGGATTTGGTGATGTAGCCGCTGCCTATCCGCGAAGGGTCTGTTCCTTCTGTTGTGTCATCCTCGGCCTTCTCTCCTGTTATCAACCAACTCCTGCAGTCCTTCTTGGGCGCTGCGATGCGCGTGAATTCATAGAAGCCTTTCTCGGGGCAGAAGTAGTATCTAGACGGGGTGGCGTTTGCGGGGTTGTCGAGACTGATTATGCGCGCATCTTTTGATGTGTCTTTTGGTAGTACGAATAGCTTTGGAGGGTTCGGTGTGCTTTCGGGTAGCGATTTGGCTGTGGACGTGGTGGGTTCAGGTGTGGATTCCTTTGGGGTCGCTTTTGCTGGTTTTGAGCGTGTACGTGCCATTGTGATGTGTATGTTAGTCCAATTGAATCGCGGGAGTATATTATACTAGTTTGAATCAGGTGGGATGCAAGTGGTGTACCGAGTCTGTTGGCGCAAAGTGAAGTTCAGTCGCGTCGCGTGGGTCGGGTCAACCGAAACACGCGCAATCCCTGTCACGTCACGGTTTCGAGTTAGATTAGTCTGGGGTGAACCACAGTCCGGTGTCAACAAACGCCAACGGGTCCCGGCTATGCGCTTGTGATTCCTGCCTGGAGATCCCAGATTCTTGCTTTTTCCCGTCTGTAGTATTGGCGTTGCTATGGGCCGCTGCGAGTTCCCGCAATCAATACTGCACCATCACAACAATGATCGTGCGGGAGAGCCCCAAGTCAAAAGGTGAGGCTGGTAGCGAATCCAACGGTGCTGAGCGTGCGCTGACTCTTGTCACAGTCAAAGACAACCAGCCCAACTGGCCCCCGCAGTCGTCCGTCGAAGCCCTTCTCAGCTCGCCCTCCGGACGTAAAAAGTACGAGAGCCGCCGCCAGCGCGATTCGGCCTCACCATCCCCCTCGAAACGCCGCCCCATGTCGCGCGGAGGAGTCCAAGCCGGTAGCGATGGAGAAGAGGATGAGGAGACGCTTCAGCTGCAGCTCCAGGCCATCGAGGCCAAGCTGAAGTTGAAGGCGCTGCAGAAGAAGAAGAACGAGTCGCTGGACATGGACCGTAACGGCGCATCGTCGCGAGCCAGCATGGCCACCAGTATGCGCAGAATCGACCTATCGCGACCCGACAGCAAACACGACAACGACGTCGAGGTGCCACGCTCACCAGTCCGGACCCGCCAACCGCCTACTGAGCCCAAGAGCCCTGCGCGGGTCATGTTGGGCATAGACAAGGGACTTACTGCTCGCGATGTTAGTCTCAAGCGGCCGGGGACCCCTGGGCGACTGTCACGGTTGGGTTCGTCTCAAGGTCCAGGAACGCCAAAGATCAAGTCCTTCAGCGAACGCATCGCAGAAAGCAGGAACAAGGAGAAGGAGCGCGAGGTCAAGGAAGAGAGGGCTGAGCAGAGGAGGAGCAGGGGCTTTGGCTTGCAGAACATCGAAGGAATCAAAGATCGGCCCTCACTCTCACGAACAAGTTCCGACCAAAGCTCGCGCGACATGCCACCGCCCGCCTCCAGGACTCACGTCCGAACACAAAGTCTACAGAATCGGTCCTTCGGAAACCCACCTACTCCACGGCCAGGATCCACAATGTCCTTCAGACCTGAGAGCGCACGCCCGACATCATCCGCTTCCAAATCTTCATCCAGCAGCTTTGGCACGACCCCAACCGCTTCAAGATACGCCGAGATCTCATCGCGCGACGACAGTACAGATGCGCCCAGTTTTGAATCCTTCTCTGGTCTTCACCTCAAGTCTAGAGAAATGCAACACAATGTTGTAACACGCACGCTGGAAGGCAAGACTGTACTCACCATACCGCAGTTGCTAAAGACGGTCAAAGCGCCTGAGTACGACCCGCCAGAATGGGAAAATGACTATGTCGTTCTCGGGGTCATCTGCTCAAAGTCAACACCGCACAACTCCAAGAACGCAGCCAAAGACCAGACAAAAGGCAAGCAGGACAAAGACATGGATCAGAATGGCAAGTTCATGGTTATCCGTCTAACAGACCTCAAATGGGAGCTGGACCTTTTCCTGTTCGATACCGGTTTTTCGCAATTCTGGAAACTGCCTCTTGGTACACTAGTTGCCATCCTCAACCCAGACATCATGCCACCACGGAATCGCGATACCGGCAAGTTCTCACTGAAACTCTCGAGCTCTGATGATACTATACTCGAACTCGGCACAGCGAGGGATCTGGATTTCTGCCACGCGCAACGTAAAGACGGCAGAGAATGTGGCCAGTGGATCGATGGTCGCAAGACTGAGTTCTGCGAGTTTCACATCCAACTTCAGGTTGACAAAGCCAAGAAAGGCCGCATGCAAGTTAACACTATGACCGGGATGGGTAGTGGGCCTGGTGGCGGCATGTTTGGTGGTCGACGTGGTGGCCCTAAGGGTGATGAACTCAAGAGGGAAGGCAAGTACCATGATCGAGAACTCCACGAAACCGTATACATTGCACCACGACCCGGTGGAGCAGCCAAACTCATCGACCGCGATCACCAAAACTGGGAAGGCGGAGCGAATCGAGAAGATCGCTTCCGTAAGCAATTGGCCGAAAAAGAGAGGGAAAGAGAGCTCGCCAAGAAGCTTGGTACAATGGGAGATGGCAGTACCGGAGGTGACTACATGAAGTTGAAGGGTGCTGGTACCCAGAATCTGCCCGCAAGAGGGTATACATCGTCGCAAGGCTCAACAGGTGCAAAGCCTGATAAGCCAGCCGACACCGACTTTAGTAGTCTGCTTAACCGTACGTCTGCCGATGTTTCTTTGGCGCCCGTTAAACGTAAACGAACAGCATCAGCGAAATCATCAACTTCGAGCGACCCCGTCGGCTGGGGATTCAAGTACGGTCGTATCCCATCACCCAAGAAGGAGGTGCCTTCTGCATTCCGCGGTACACGAGAAGCCAGTCCAGCAAAGAAGAAAGCCCGTCTCTTCTTAGATGGAAAAGGCATTCGCGAGCCTGGACGAGAGAGTCTGGGAGGTCTAGACGCAGGACTTATTGCTGCCATGGACGACGACGACGATGACTTGGAGGTAGTTTAATTCTTTAAAGAAATCCTAGGGGAGGCAACAAAAAAAAAGGAGGATGTGGAAGGGGAAGGCGTTTGGATCACAAGCTCGCTGATTGGCTAGAGCTAAGCGAACAACGGACATTTCGACTTTTCTGGGCTCTGGATACCTCAGGCTTAGCGTAACGTAAGCCTTGTAACGACTTTCCTTTGTGTACATGTACAATATTATACCCGTTCATCACGTTGATATACAAACTGCATTCAATTTCAAAAAGCCGATGTGCTAGAGAGGAGGCGCAGTTGCTTGCATGAGTGCTAGTACTTTCTAACCACACGCAACAACACTTGTGCACCCACCCTTATCAGAAAGAAAGGAGTGAGACAGTATCTCACGAAAACAAATCACCTCAGAATGGCAGCCCAGAATATCAACCCCGGCGAGAAGATTTACGCCCTCGTCAACTACGAAGACCCTTATGTCCAACCCCTCATCCTCGCGGCACTGAAGAAGCGACTACCAGCTTCGGCCCACGAATTCATAACCTCGCCATCCCAACTCCCCAGTCCGTCCTCTCGTTTCCTCCAATGGGTTCAATATGAGTCCATTGACTTTGATCACCTCATGGAACACTCTTCGAGCAGCCTATCCAACGCCTACGTAATTCGCAAGGCACTCATCCGGAAACACTACCTCAGTACCACGATCGCGAATTGGATTACCAAGTACCCAGACAGCGTACTGAAGAAGCACGTCAAACCGAGTGTAGAATTCGAAGTTGACTATGCCGAGTTCCTGGACGATGCGCTGGTAGAAGCATGGGAGTTGAAGGAGAGCTGGGCGAGGAACGAGGAGCTTGATGGCGATGAAGATGAGGAAGAGGCGGCGAAGAAGAAAGAGTGGTGGATCTTGAAGCCGGGGATGAGTGAACGGGGTCAAGGCATCAGGTTATTCTCGAGTGAAGAGGAACTCACTGCCATCTTCGAAGAATGGGATCCTGAGAGCGATGACGAGGAAGATGAGGAAGACGGCGATGCGAGAAGCGATGCTGGCGTCCCCAACACAGACGACCGGAAAGAAGAGAAAGACGAAGGAAACGGCATTATAACATCCCAACTCCGCCACTTCATCGCTCAACCATACATCCACCCACCTCTGCTCTTATCCCCGCCCTCCTTTGCTACCCCTTCTTCATCTTCCTCGCCAGAAACTCTCCGCAAATTTCACATCAGAACCTACGTCCTAGCAACTGGCGCTCTACAAGTCTACGTCTACCGCCCCATGCTTGCCCTCTTCGCCGCACGCCCTTATGTCCCTCCCTGGGACGCTGCTCTCCAGGAGAACCGCGAAGAAGCCATGAAAGCGCATCTCACAAACACCTGTCTCCAGGACAGCGGGGACAGGGAAGGTAGTGTAGGCTTGTTCTGGGATTTGCCCGAAACCATACCTGGACAACCTCCTTTCACCTCTTCAAACGGCAAAACGTTAGATGTAGGAAAGGGATGGAAGGACGAAGTGTTTTCCCAGATTCTAAAAACTACATCTCAGACTTTTGAGGCGGCGGCGAGGGGTATGTCGATTCATTTCCAGCCGCTGCCTAATAGTTTCGAAATCTTTGGTTTGGATTTCATGGTTGGAATTGAAGGGAATGGGGAGCTGAATACGTATTTGTTGGAAGTAAATGCATTTCCTGATTTTAGACAGACAGGAGATGAACTTAGTGGGATGATTGAGGGGCTTTTTGAGGGCGTGGTGAACAAGGGGGTGGCGCCTTTCTTTGGGCTCAACGTGGAGCAAGAGGGGGATGATGACATGGTCAAGGTCTTGGATGTTGATCTGGGCCGGCGGTGAGCGAAGCTTAGGGAGATTCATTATAGCAGCACTGCATGTTGATGAGCACAATGAGAGTAATCACTCATATTTTCCTTGATCTATACTATGGTTCCTGTCCTTTCCTCCCATTACATTCATTTCAATCTGCAACCGCTGCATGCTGTGTTGGTGTCTAATGAGAAAGAACTCCCAAACACCAAACTACCGCATACCTTGATCGGCAGTTGAAGTACCCTATCTACTTACTAACCATGGGGCTATTTATATAGCCAGAAAAAAAGAACACCGATTACAATGCCAGAGCAGCAAAGAAGGTCTTACTACCTTCCATTGCTAAACATACATTAAAGGCCGTCAGTATGCGCACCCTTTCGTGATGCTAATGTAATCGTGGGTATCCTGATCCTGTTCCTTGATGTCAAAGAACACAAAAAGCAAACGCTCGCTATGCAAACAATCAGTCACAAAGGACCTGATGCAGAAGAGGACAAGCTAAGATGTCTTCAAGACACTGATGCTCATTCAAGACGAACGGGCTGGAGCACCGTTAGATGCTGCCGAATGACATGGAGGAGGTTGAGTGCTCACTGCGAGCTCGCTTGTCTGCTGCCTCGCGCTCGAGCGGTTCACCGCTGCGCTTCTTGGATGTCTTGACTGAGCTGCTTGAGCTGTGGGCTGACTTGACGCGCGACCAAGAGTCAAATGAGATCTCTGTTGTGGTATTAGCATGCGGGTAAATAGACCCGTGCACAGGATGACTCACCCTTCTTGAGCTTGCGAGTCGTAGGCGGCGGCGTCGTGGCCAACGATGGAGTTGGCACGACGCTCTTTCCTTTCCTACGGCTCGGGGTTGCGACTGCCTCGTCGACTTCGGTGGTGGCCTCCTCGTCATCAGTCTCAATGCCCTGCGCGCGGTTGCGTTCTTTGATCTCGGCCTGGAACAAAAGTTTCGGCTTGATAGACGAACGAGTGAGCGGGCGGCGTGCCTCAACGCCAATTTGGCGGCGCACTTGCTTGTCATCAGCGGAGAGCTCATCGTCTTGCTCTGCATCTGAGGCGCCGGACGGTGCGTCGTCGTGGAACTTGCGGAAGACCTTGCGACCTCGGAAGATGTACACCATGCCTTCGTCACGGTCGGCGGCAGCCTCCATCTTAGCTGTCTTTCGGTCGACCAGCTTCCTTGACTTTTGAGGAGTAGCCTTTGCCTTGCCCTTGCCCTTGACGGTGATGAACGGGTTCTCTTCAGTCTGAGCGCCGGGAGTAGGTACCCGTTCCTTGGAGTCGGTGAAGATGGGAATCTTCTCGGTAGTCTCGTCCATTTGCTCAGCAAAGCTCTCTAGGGTGTAGAGGTTCTTTGTCTTGCGGCCTTTGCGCGGCGTCGGCATGGCTTCTTCGATGGTGGATGGGCGATTGGTAGGGAACAAGACGCGGGCGGTGGAGCTGACGTCTTCAACGCGACGCTTGCGGGGTGTCTTGGCTGGAGTAGGAAGCATTCCCTGCGTAAGTCAGTATGTTTGTCCGTACGTGTCATAGTTGGAGGCGCTTTGGTACTCGACGCTGTCGTTTGACAAGCGCAGCGGGCCCAAAGCTAGCCTCCTCATGTAACGTACCGGAGCCATGTTTGCGAACAGAGTACGCCGAGAAGAAGTTGGTGCGGCGTTGTCGGAGTCAGAGTCGAGCGGATTGAGGTCCAAGGGCGCGCGACGGATCGAGCGTGGGGAGCGCGGTTGTTGTGAGGTTACAGGCGAGGATGGCGGCGACAGGGCGAAGGAAGCGTTTGCGCGGGCAGCAGACCGCTTAGACGACGAGGCCGTTGGTGTGATGTCGCGCCTGGTCCGTGGGGTGGACCGCTCCTGTTGGTGAGAGTGAATATCGCGTTGGGCGGCCACTCTGCTCGATCGGCGCGGTGAAAACGGCTCGTAGGTGTCTCCATGCAGGGGCGCCGGCGGGGTGTGGATGCGACGGGGCGGCGAGGGTGTGCGCTCCATATTGTGGTGTGATGCGAGTGTTTGTTTGGGATGGGGCAGTTGCGGTGTTGTTATAGCAATGTAGGTAGGAATGTGGATATCCAAAATCAAAACAATGGCACTAAGCTTCAATGTTGCAACGCCTCAACGTTCAAAGGGTCCAATTGATGATGCAATATCGATATGCGCGCAAGTGGAAAGTTCGGTAGGGCTTGTGATGGTGAGGGTGAAGGACAAAGCCGAGTGGGTACAATGGGCTATGTCTCCGATGGGGAAGGGAAGAAAGCGCGAGGTTGGGAAGGAAGGCGCAGATGGCGGGTGCTCCTTCCTTGGCGCAATGCACGCGCGGAACATCAACAAGACCCCTGCTAACCGCTGGCCCCGCCAAACCAAATACGTCAAACACGCCAACGCCTGCCAACTCGAAATGCTGCCCGTGTCACCAAATCAATTCGTCTAGACGCGTCCAACACCATACACAATAAATACACAACGCAATATGGACCCGCCAAACCTCGGGGCGCTTGACCTCTCCGACTCAGACGAGGATGCTTTGTTCGACACGCCGGCGGCGCGCAAGACCAAGCAGAAGACAAAAGATGCGGACAATGATGCGGGGGAGGGTGCAGCGGGCGGGAAGACACGCTCCAAGGAGTCGCATTATACCACAGAAGAGGCGCGAGAGGCGGCATTGCGGAGAGAGTTAGAAAGCATACGAAACGTCAACAAGGTCATTGAGGGCGTTGTGGAAAGCTTGCAGAAAGCAAAGGACAACATGGCTGTAAGGAACAAGTTTAGAACTGCCGCAGTCTTCAGACTGACGATGAATAGACCGTATCACGCACTGTCCAGAACGCTTCTACTTTGCTCCAAACATGGACACGCATACTTTCCCAGACTGAACACAATCAGCGCTTGATCCTAAACCCCCAATGGCAGGGCGCTTCACAAGATCTGATAGACATTGAGGAGGAAGAAGTACATCGTCAGCAGGCCGCACAACGTCGGGCAGCGGAAGAGCAGGCACGGAAAGAAGCTGCGGCGAGGAAGATCGAAGAAGATCGTAGGAAGGCAGAAGCGGCCCCGAGACCAGGCACACGAGGCAGAGTGAGGGGCGGCGCTAGACCACGAGGTGCTTCGACATCGTCCACGGGGAACTATGTTGGTGTGGGTGGACAAGCAGGACGTGGTGTTAGTCGCAGCGATTCAACGCGAGGTCGTGCAGGCAGTGGCATTGGACGAGGGCTGCCACGGGGCAGGGGAAGAGGTCTGGGCTGATGAATGTGCATGCTCCAGCATCTTCACCATACCTCGAGTCGACATCGAATAAATACGTGAAAAACTCGACCGACAATGAACCTCGAAACGTAAACTTCGTAATTTCAGGGTCTCGAATGCTCAAATCAATGTGCACTATCGAAAATGCATCGTGCAATCCAAATCGGACTAGCTGAGCATGCCACTCACCCAAGACTGGGGTGCTTGGTAGCTTGTCGAGGCACGGGACTCTTCTCCAGAGCAACCGGCACTAGAATTTGTACCTGCAGCTCGATGCAGTGAGCGCGCCGGATTGGTGATGCGGGTGCATTTCTCGAAGCGGGAAAGCCTGGGAACCCCACTTGTCGTCAGTTGGACCCCGCCGTACAATTGCTTGAGATCTTGCGACCATCCGGAGATTCAAATAGATTCTCCGTTTCCTGCTTTTCGACCTCTTTTCTCTTTTTCCTTCTCTTCCATTCTTCTGAAATTGGACGTCTATATCACACAATGGAAGTTCCAACAGCAACGTCGCTACGCGACATCTACCCCGAGGACGCGCTCCCCGTCGAAACAAAGCGATGGGAGAGCCTACTCGCCAAGTTCAAGGACCTCTACGGCAAGCAAGCAGACTTCGTCGCTAGGAGTCCTGGACGCGTCAACATCATTGGCGAGGTAAGATACCTGCAAGAGTCCCGTTTCCCTTGACTGATGGTTGTAGCACATTGACTACTCTCTATACGAGGTCCTGCCCATGGCTATCACCGCCGACTTCATCATGGCTGTTGCTGTGCGACCTACCGAGGAAAAGCCGCGCATACGGATAGCAAACCTCAACTCCGAGAAGTTTCCCACCCGCGAGTTTGACATTCCCGAGGGAGAGATTCCAATCGACGCTTCCGAGCATGAGTGGACCAACTACTTCAAGTCCGGATTGAAGGGCGTATCACAACTACTACAGAAGAAGCGCGGCAAGTTCACATCCGTGGGTATGGATATTGTTTGCGACGGCACAGTACCAAGTGGTGGTGGTCTCTCCAGTTCGGCGTCCGTAGTTTGCACAAGTTCTCTTGCTGTACTAGCTGCGAATGGCGAGGAGAAGATCGACAAGACCGAGTTATGCGAACTTGCAATTGTTTCTGAGCGCGCAGTCGGTGTCAACTCTGGAGGGTAAGCTTGACCAAGTGGTTGAAGGTGTTATAGCTAACATACCCACAGTATGGACCAAGCAGCTTCCGTCTTCTCCCTCCGCGGTTCCGCCCTATACGTATCTTTCAAGCCCAGCCTCAACTACACAAACATCGAGTTTCCGAAAACAGACCCGGAACTCGTCTTCGTTACCGCCCAGAGTTTCGTCGCCGCAGACAAGCACGTCACAGCCCCTGTATGCTACAACCTACGTGTAGTGGAATGCACATTAGCGGCGGTCTTCCTAGCCAAAGCATTCGGCCTGAAGAAGGATCTCCCAACAGACTCATCTCCCCTTGGCGTCAGCCTGCGTGGCTTCCACGACACTTACTTCGAAGACAAAGAAGGCGTCTCAGACAACACCAAGATCTCTGTCTCAGAGTTCGAAACGCAACTCACAAAGCTTATCCAACACACCGAGGACTACCTTCCCCAAGAAGATGGCTACTCGCGCCAGCAAATCTGCGGCCTCCTCGGCATCTCCGAAGACGACCTCAACCAACGCTACATGTCCAAGTTCCCCGTCCGCGCCGAGAAATTCATGCTTCGCCAGCGTGCCCTACACGTCTTCACCGAAGCCCTCCGCGTGATCAAGTTCCGATCGCTACTCGCTTCACCGCCGTCAAATGACCGCGCGTACTTGCAATCACTAGGCGATCTTATGAACACAACGCAAGACTCGTGTCGCGAGATCTACGACTGCAGTTGTCCTGAGCTCGACGAGTTGTGCGACTTGGCACGTGCAGCGGGAAGTTGTGGTAGTAGACTTACTGGAGCGGGCTGGGGTGGATGTAGTGTGCATCTTGTGCCTAAGGACAAGGTTGAGGCAGTTAAAAAGGCGTGGGTGGACAAGTACTATAAGAAGAAGTTTCCAGATATTACCGAGGAGAAGCTCAAGCAGGCGGTTGTTGTTAGTGAGCCCGGGAGTGGATCTATGCTTTTCAAGGTTACGGGGGATAAGCTTGCTTAGATGGGGTAGGTATTGAGTGAGGCAGCTGGAATCTTCGGGTAAATAATACCCTTGTGTGGTTCAGACGTGGTAACGTCACACTAGGTTGGCCGTTTGAATATCTGTGGTCACGGCTTAGAATACGATACAGAGACACCAGGTTTGTCTCGTTTACCTTCTCACTGAGAGTCAGAATATGGAATGTTTCGCACCACAGTCTTCATGTTCTTCAATATGCAGTACATGTCACATCAACTCCTGCTTTGGCTTCACAGTATCGCAGGCCATGCAGAAAATCATGCGGACTGTACTGCATCAACACCGTAGTAGCTTCTATGAGGCGCCTTGCTATATCCTCACATCGATCATCTCTTCCAAGGCGGCAGTATCACAGCTCCTGCATCCAATAACAATATCTAATCTACTACATTGCGATCAGGACATTTCAACTCCTATCTTCACATCTACACGCATATCACAATATCGACAGGTAATCCCCATCCAGCGACCTACCACCAACATGCCTAGACGCAACCCCGATCGCCGTAGAAAACAATCGCGAAAGACACATTCTCAGAAACCAAGTTTCGATCGAGCAGGTCATTATCAGCAATATAATAATACTATGTATGCAGACGGAGATGTACTTGCCGCAGCACGTTTCAGCGAAGATAGCATACGAAGACAACTCGGGTACACGATTCCACCACCACAGCAGATAAGTGGCGATATAACACCAAGGTGGCGGACAGGATATTGGTATACATATACGCATCCTGTTCACGCGAAGATGTAGTTGTCTGGGTTGGTGGTGATCAAGGGTTCACACATGGATATGGGTATGAGTATGCTGGAGAAGAAGAGCATTGCCACAACGAAGACTATGCGATCGGTGCGGGGCTTTGTGATGAAGCGTCTGCGACATGTCATCAGGATACACGGAAGTCTGCTGGGCTACCGTCGTTTGGATACAGAGAAGGGTATCACGATCCGATTCTGAAAGATCAGACTGAGGATTGGTGGAAGTTGTTTGGTCATGACGTACCAAAACAGTTCATCCTTGGTGCCGAGTCCACTCGAATGGTGGATAAGGAGTGGAATGTTGCGGCGTACTTTGCGCCTTATCGCACGCCAAAGCAGGAGTCGTGCCCTAGGCCAGAGAGGGAATGTCGCGACGGGAAGAATCATGCAGTGAAGGAAGGTGGAGAATCTGGAAATGAGCTCTCTACCGGCGAGATCGGTGGCGGAATACCGCGGGTATGCAGAGGAAGGGATGATTGGGAATGTGACTTTTGTGGAGTAGAGTGCTTTTGTTGGACTGTTGAGTCGAAAATGACTGAGCTTTGGTGATAAATTTAAGGCTGGAGGTTCCTATCTAGAATGCGTGCCGATAGTATGGAGATACTGGCACGTCGAATCTACCCTAGTAATTGTTTAAAGTTTGTCTGAACCTTAGCATCCAATGGGTTCTTTCTGAAAGCACTTTTCTGAGTCACGATTTCATGTTATTACGAACTTCCATTGAAAGTGGTCGGCGAGTGCTGTGAGCATGCTCCAGTGCCTTCGCGTGGGGAAGGAGTCGAGGCGCAGGTGACGGTGTTGTGTCAGGCAGGCGGAGCACTTCGGAGAAGCACAAGGCCGATGCCTCGCGTACGGTCTTGTACGGAGTGGCTGACTCCACGTGGTTGCTGGGAGACCACATACTCCAGTCCTGGGCTCTACGACTCGGTTATTCGGAGAGTGGGATGACGTTGCAGCGCGTGTGGACGGTGTATGAATTAGGTTAGTGGCTCTTTGCATCACAAAGGTCCTTGTATTATCATATGGTGAGATAACTTTCTGTGTTACAAAATGGTGTTAGATGATTGGTGTAATGATAGAATGTGAGTATTCTCATCCGTGAAAGCATTTCCTGGTGTGTTGTCTTCGATACTGGCACGGAGAAATATTCCAAAAGAGAAATGGTGTCAGCTTTATGGCTATGACGTGGGTCCGAGGTAATTCATGGTAAACCGGTTAATGACCAGGCAAAGCCGCGATGATAAATTGCAGTTCCCGGATACACGCAAGCTAGAAGGGGTGTTGCTATTCGATTGCCTGACCGTCGCTCTTTGCCATGCGGAAGGCTTATCGCAGAAGGATGCTAAAAGATCTGTTATAGCAAAGACCTGGTGTCGTGCAATGCAAGGAGAGTCGAAACACCTTGCTTTTGTCTGTGGAGGGTGAGATCAATTTGCTCAAACGCCAGTGGCGCAGGAGCTTGTATGGGAAGATAATGCTAGACTGAGACCGGAAACGTATAATCTCCCCTCAATCCGAGTGACCAGGAAGAAGCAACAATGTGGAGTGGCAAAGGTCTGCACCGTGGTTTACGTGAAGCCACATTTGATGAGGCTGATTGACTCTTGTGTAGACTTCGTCCTGCCTGAGAGGACATAACAAGCCATTCCTGGCAGTGTTCCGTATGGTCGTGAGAACTTGACGTTGAAGTCACCAATGGCTTGCATGAGGCTTCTTCCGGATAAAGTTCCGACGGCAGTGCAGTGAATCTTAGACGAGCAAAGTGTGTTCCTGTATTGTTCCAAAGTTGGGTCAGCTAGGTCAGGCATCATTCAAATTGGGCAGTCGATACGCTCAAGTCTATTTGTGCTGCCCGAGCAGGATACCGATATGGTTTCAATCAGCTTGATGGATGATGCGGCTGTCGTCGTTCAATTTGCGCGTCGGTGACCAGAGTAAGCCGAATTAGCTAAGAGATGCACGTTTTGCGACAGCTGCAAGGGACCAGGGAGCCACGCGAGAGAAAAGGAGGCATCAGCGCCTCTATGGAGAGCCTCGTGGCGTGATACTCATGCATGCGATTCAGACTTGAGTGTCGGCTTGCAGCGCAGTCGATATGGAGCGATTTGATATAGGGCATGGACCTCCGTGTGGGGTTGCCCTGGTAGCGCCGCCAGCTAAGCGTGCCTTCTGCGGCCTCACCAACAGATCGCTTCGCCCAGCTCCAGTACATCCACATACCTATCGTATGATGTAGGCTTTTCGCGATTGCTGGTGTAGCTTAGACAAAATCTCATTACCGCATGCCTCATGCGCGACACATATAGCTCTACCAAAACACCCTACCCTTACCGGCCGTTCCTGCACATCCCGAATTGCGACGGCTGCCATGTGTGCTTCGTTACTGCGCGTGCCACAAACCAAATGCCTGCGTAACATGATCTCGGAGACCAGAAGCCGTGGTATTATAGGTAAATACGTCAAATACGGAACGTATGCTACACAACTCATGTCTCTGACCATCAATTGGCCAGTCAACATAACCTGAAACTTGACTCATCTGAGTAAACGTCAAGATGGCGAATACCAGTATTTTCAGGTTGGGCGCAGGATTCCTGCTATGCATACCCACCGAGACGCTGCGGTCGGCATCATTGTGTTTCGCCCGTATTAGCTTTTAGTATGGTTCGACTGGATGCCGCGGAAGACATCGATGACGGAAAAGACACGCATTGTTACCTCAAGATTCGACAACATTGGAAGACAAGGCATGAGGCAAGAAGTCGTACGATCGGCTCAAAGAGTCTGGAATACTTTTGACTTACAGCCTCTAGCATGCACAAACCTCGCCATCTACAGCGGAAGAATTCTTTTCGGCCCCTCTTAGAGTCAGCCCCATTGTTGGTTCCGTACCGATCATCGACCTCGCGTATCCATCGGATCCACTAGAGTTTGTCTGGAGATGTTCGCTCGACCATCGTGGGGGTCAGTCCACTCTGCAAGGGGAATTCGAATCATACCACAACTGGGTGATATACTCTCCAAAGACATAACTGATCCGAGCTTGTACGCCTCAGCACACAATGGGTCCTACACGGTAATTTGCATTCCATGTTGCCTACGGATGAATCGACTGGAAACCTTTACTAGCCATCGCTTGTCCACTTACGTTCCGAATATGAACGCGACAACATGCCACTCGTATGCTCCACTGCCGAAACTGGTAAGCGTATCGTGGTCACAAAAAGGCTTAGACCGTCTGAGATATCTGCTCGTTGCAGAGACAGCGATAGGCATTGCGATCACAAGCTTCCAGCCACTGAATAAGCATGCTACTCCAGATCGAGGTTTCATTAGGTGAATCTCTTCCAGAATACCAGAAATTCATAAGATACGAGCTATATTACGTCATGATGAGCGAGTCTCATGAGCCATATGAGGCACTTTGCTCTCCCGGATTGTTACTTATACTCACACCGCTTGATAATGGACATACAACATCTCTTTGCACCGATCTGTGCATAAACACAATTACAAGTCTGCTCGCCCTACTAAATGCTGTACTTTTGAGCTTGCCATGCATAGTCGACATACTTTGTCCTTTTCAAAACCCACCCCAATGAGCATATGAACAACGGCGTGTCGCATAACAGTACCTAGACGCTAGACGCTGGACAAGCTACACACATCAGACCATCCAAATTTCATTGGGGAACGCTCGACAATGCGGCAGTCTCGAGAAGTTACAACATTCCTCAGCTTACCCGCTGCATTGCGAGAGCGAATCTACGCCGAGGTTCTGATATCACTCGAGCAAGGCCCAGAGATACTCCGCAGTTGCCGCCAGGTTGAAAGAGAAGCTCGGAAGTTCTTATACCAAAGACCCGTCAACTTTCCGACTCAACTTTCATTGTATGAATGGTTAGATGCAACGCCTGACAACCTCCTCGCACAGGTTATCGATATCTCAGTGGCAGTCCAAGATATCAATCTTCGATCCATACTACATCCTCACGCGTCGACTCTGCTATCACCTGGCCCTCCACGACTGCTTACCTGGGATCTGTACGAGGCGGAAGTCAGTCGATTCACGTTGGCGTTAGAGAGGCTGCCGCACGTTAAGACAATTGCTATCCAAGCATCTTCGAACTCTCCATCTCACCTTTATGACGAGTTCGTGTCTAAGGTCTTGATAGAGTCGAGGTCGAAATTGCCGGATGCCAGAGTAGTACATGTCGTAAATCTGGGTTCGCATAATACAGCGGAGTATTGAATAAGCCGCGAACTGGCTGTTCAACATCGACGGAGGCTTTACAGGGTTCGGGCTGATCCCACCGTTGGAAAAATTGGCCTCTTCATTGGTTCGGTTCATCGCGAGGCTGATGAAACTAACGGACGCCTACCGAACCTTGATGCAGAGGCAGTGTGATCTTCGCAGAGATCTGATGCAGGAGCGTATCGATACCCAAGCTGTCAGGCATCGCATGGAAGCATCCTATGTCGCTGATGCTAGTCGAGTGTTGCGGACTGATCGAGTTGGATACACGGGAACATCTTGGTTGAAGTATGAGAATTGTACGTCATTGCGTGTGTCTATCGAACTCGAGTTGATGCTCATTCGGCAATTTCCGCTAGTAGCTGGCTTGCGAGAGGTCAATCCTAATTGTTTCGAGGTTATCCAAGCTCAGAACTAGGATGCACTGAACGAAGATGTTATAAACGAGTATGCGAAAGGTGAGATGCCCAGGTCTTTTGATGAAGCTAAGACTGTTGGCACCAAGGTTATGCCTCATCAGCTTATCTGCGGGTTCGGGTTCGGGATCGTATAGGAGCGGAACCTTAAAGAAACATGCTGGCACTTCTAAAGTCGTTTGGAATGTGACCTCGTGATATGACCTATCATCTCCAAGCTATCTTCTGCGCGCAGTCAACCACTGCACGTCATTGTTGATCGCGATATTTCATCGTTTTTTTTTGAGCTCATATCAACGTATACCGGGATGTGATAGTGTACTAGAGTTGCATGATGAGATTGTCGTGAAGATGACGATGCGTTCTAGCATCACCCTTGGGGAGGTGTAGATGCTGGTCTGTTGTAACTTCATGCACTCGGTGACAGCGACTGGCAGTGCTGACTAGTGCGTATTTGTCAGCGCCGCTGGGCGGGGATCGGCCGTTCTGCTAGTAACGAAAGATCAGACCGATCGAGCATATGTCAGCAAAGTATTCCTTTGATCAGCCAACTCACAATGTCAAGTGCTGGTGTCGAAAAGCGTGGCTCTGCCTCTACTGTACGGGTAAGCAAGTTTTGATGTTTTCTCCCGGTCTAGTTCATCCGCGGCTCCATGCATCCGGCAAGGGCGCTCCCGACGCGACTCAGCCTCAACATCCGCGGAGAGCTATCTAGCATCGAATGTCGCTTCCAGAGCATTTTGTACGCGCCGATTTCTAAACTGACGCGTCTTTTAGGCTTGCGATCTGTGCCGCAAACGAAAACGAAGATGTGTATGGAATTCTGGCCCCCAAGGCTGCTCGCCATGCACCAATATGAAAGAGACGTGTACGACCACGTACACGCGGAAGCAGAGATCGAAACCACAGAGAGGGTATGATCTGAGTGCGTGCTCCAGTTTTTCAGTGTAGGCTAACGATGGTTTAGTAATCGCATAGTCGAGTATGAGAGTCGAATCAAGAGATTAGAGTCGCTTCTACATGAGCGGAACGTCACACAACCTGAAATACGTCAACAACCGATCATGCAGGTCACAGACGCTTCAGTTCCGCTCTCGAAGTGGGTTGAATCATTGCGCCATGAGGTAGAAACTGGGCCTCAACCTCAGCTTCCGGACCTCAATCCCTTCGATCTAGAGGGTCTTTTGCAGGGCAGCGACGGAGTATTTGCAGATGAACTCGGTGCTCTGTCTATGGGCGACACTAGTCAAGGTTCTTCAGCATTAGACACTCCACTCCCGATTTCCTTAGATGGCATCCAGCCATCAGTTGACTTTCAAGAGGATGCTGCTTTCTTGCAGGGCGGGCATTTCGGGCCGAGATCGACCGAGGGGCTCAGTCCGCTCCCCCAACCGACAACAACCAGTCCTGATAGTGATTGGTATCTCCCACCTCCAGAGCTTGGAACATCACTGCTTGCAGAATTCCTGACAGACTTGAATACCGCCTATCCACTCTATCAGCCACATGTTATTGCCGACCACCTCCGGACGTGTTATGCAGGGCTGTCCGATGGCGCGGCAGTTGCTTGGACGAGCGCGTACATTGTCTTCGGTATGGCACATCATCTTCGCGGAATGAGTGTGACTGGGAACAGCTACGATATGGACATGGCTCAGTATTATCTCGCCCGCGCATATTCCACACTAAACACTCTTCTTGCGGCGCCACCGTCCCTAGGACAAGTACAATGTCTTATTGGGTTAGCACTGCTCATGGTGGCCAGTCCTTGCAGCTATAAACAATCAGCAGGACACTTCGTCTCCACCGCACTACGTGTTATCAGAAGTCTCGTATACCAAGAGGAGAAGGACTGTCTCACGATAGAACAGCTAGCCAACAGCGCACAACAGCGTCGCGTTTTCTGGATCTGCTTTATTAACGACATTACTTTGGCCATTCTGAATAACACACAACCTACACATAAGCTCCAGGATGTTGCCAATTGCTCTGACTTTGTAGCAGACGAACTCGGTGCACTTACTGCAGCCGAGGGTACATGGCGAGTGCTCATATTTTGGTTGTTTACCAGGATAGCTTTGCTCCAAGTCGAAGCTATCGATCAGGTGTTTTCCCGCACGACAAGCAACAACACTCCTCTCGACTTGAGCGCTGCTACTTCCATTGTCTTCGCACGGCTACAGGCGTTTCGCGAGCAACATCATATCTTTCACCTCTCCGCTGGTCAGATTCAACAATTATTGTACCGGGCAGATATTTGTCACTGCATTGCGCTTGAGGCTTACTACTTCGCTACTATATATCGACTGCATGCGTTTATGGCCATGGATATGAGCTCGAAGATCAACCCTTTTGAGATGGATGGCTTGAGTAGGATGTCGAAGATGAAGCAACATAAATCATATTCGGAGGCGCGAAGACTTTTGAGTCTGTTGCCGGTAGCTCCGCGAGGCAATGTCGCCTTGTACTGGTAAGTGATATGCACGAGAGCTTCTAAACTCAGCCGTGTAGTCAACTACGACAAACAGTCGCTAACCACTTTGTAGGATGATACATTCCATTCTCATCGCAGCGCTCGTTACTATCCTTGCACACCATATTCAAAACCCAATGGCAGACGCCCCTTCGCCTACTGAATTGCGCATCTATCAGCAACTAGTTGCCGACCTCGATATCATGGTCGGTGCAGGCGACAATCCGGATTTGGCAGACAAGGCGACGTTCTGCAAGCGCTTGCTATCAGCTTACGAAGCACGATTCCGTGCTCAGAGGATAGGGGGTCCTCTACGCAGCATCGCAGTGACGAGCTAAGAAAGGCTGCGTTGTTGGTTCGCAAACTCGCGTCAAAGAAATCAATTGTCCTCTACCACTTCTATCATGTAAACCCGGACAGTGAATCGCTATTGCAGATACAAGAGATCGAAGCCAACGGATCTCGTCAATCAGAGAGACCTCCCATATCTCCAACATCATCCGCAATTCGATACCCTACGAGTTCTCATCATATGGCACATCAGGTCCAACGAAGGTGTTCCGATTTCTATGATCTGTACAAAACGTGCGGCCACTGCATGTTGTGTTCTATCACACTCCGTTCACAACGATAATTTGTATCGAGTCAGCCTTCCGTCACTATTCAAGGCATATTTGTGGGCGATTGGGCATGGCTGGAGCAAGAAGATACCCGTCTAGATACAAAGCATGCAAAGCGCGGATTGCCTTGTCGTCATTTACCCAACTATTCAACCGCCGGCACAGTTGTCGTACGTGGCTGGGCGAGCTACAAATCATCTCGTCCGTCCTTGACGTTATGGTATGTCCCTCTCAGCTCTCGACGCAGTGTGTCAGCTTGGTGTGATTGAGCACAAAAGTGGAGCTGCTTAGCTGACGCTAACCCAGCAAGCGCCAATCTCGGCTCCCGCTTTCGCTCAGCTGCACCTGTTCGTCCTTAGAATCTAACAGTTCCTTGTCACTCACAATCCCATCGCATGTCCAACACTTTGATTGACCATCGCACGTAATAATTCTTGATGCGCGACACCGGTACCTCGCCTTACAAAGCCGCACGCGATGCGGAGACAGCTTCAGCAGCCACCATCCTGCAGTCGGGCCACACAACCTATATCAGGCAGCAACCCCATGGCTAGTAGTATCACAACCTGCCCAGACCGGTCAAGGTGTTTTGCGCTGGGTTAATTAGATGGCGTTCATCGGCCAATCAAAGACGGAGGGTGTGCGAAGCACGGCTAGGATTTGGGGGCCGATACGACAGCCTTGAGAACGCCTCTGTGACGATAAAAGTAGCGTGTGCCCAGCATGGCTTTTGCCATAAATCAGCATATGGTTTAGCATCTATCATTTTCAACAGGCTCGCAAGCTTTTCTGCGTGGAAGGCTTCCGAGTACAAATCTCTCAGCCTCCGGCGAACCAGAGCTTCGCCGCCTCACGAAACCCTCGAAGCTTCATTGTGCTTACTGAAAGATGGGATTTAGGCGTAAAAATGACGAGCCGGACCCACCAGATCCGGTCTTCAACGAAGACCAAGACCTCAGCGAAGTTTGGCCGCAAGTCGTGCGGGAGTATGAGAACACCACCAAAACGAAGCTAGATACGAGGATGACCTTCGAGAGCTTCCAGCTGCAGGTCGACGCAAGCATAAAAGAGTCTAATACTAAAAGTCATCAACATGCTCGGAAGGTTTTCAACAATGTCGGAGCTTTTATCGAGAAGTTTGGGAGCATCGTCGCACAAGGAGCAGGTATGGTCTTTGGGCCCACAGCTCAATGCTGGAACGCGATTAGCTTCGTTATTCAAGCAGTACGGGGCTTCAATGACATGATGGACGGGTTCGTCACTCTAATGGAACGCTCATCAGCCTTTCTGCGGCGCCTAGTGCACTTTATGCAGCAAAAAATGGGCGCAGATGGCACCCATCTACCGCGCAATCTTCGCAAACCGGCGTACGAAATTCTTGCCCTATTCCTGCGCGTACTTCAGTCTTCATACAAGCTAGCGACCAGCAAAAGAGAGCATTTCAAGGCTATGGCGAAGATCATTCTGTTCAGCTCCGACGAGCAGGTTGCAGATTCACTCAAGCTCATGGAAGGTCATGTCAAATACTTCACCATGGCTGAGATCGATGAGATCTTGTTGGACGTCAAAGGGCTAGCAAGACACCTTGACAAATCTGATGAGGAAAGGAAACGCTACGAAAAGGATATCCTTGAATATATCCAAGAAACATGCAGAGTTGGCGATCAGGTTCTGAGTATCACTCAGCAGATGAAGAGCACTTTGGATGGTAGAATTAGCAAGGAACAACATGAAAAGAACCTGGACAAGATAGCAAAGACTCTGGGACTCAAGAAACCTTCCGGGGACTGGGAGACTTGGAGCAAGCGACATAGCGAGCTCTGCAAGACTCATGTACCTGGAACAGGAGAATGGCTTAGTCAAGACGAACCGGCGTTCATCCAGTGGGCTGATCTTGATCAGCATGACAAGAAAGTCCTCTTCCTGAAGGCCGATTCTGGTTTCGGCAAAACACATCTGTTTAATTATGTCGTTTCATATCTCGAAAAGAAATGTCGGACCCCGCGTGGACCAAATCAAACTTTCCTGGCCTATTACTACTATGGAGAGGATAAGGATGACTCGCTCGAGCGGTGTATAGGATCCATCGTCTACCAACTCGCAGTCGCAGATGTTGCATATGCTCAAGCCGTAGTCGAAGAGTGTGGGCGACCCGCAAGTATTGCGCGAGCTGAAGATCGGTGGAAAAACCTTGTAACAGGATTGCGACATGCCATGAAAGGTACATACTTCATATGTATGGATGGTTTCGATGGCCGTGGCCAGTTAGACACGGCAGAAACAATGATGTCAACTATTTCACATCACACTACGTCTCCAGCGGAGTCCAACGGAATTGCTCTGCGTTTCTTCATATCAGGAAACGATGAGGCATTCTCTGAAGTATCACAAGCAGTCGAAAGTATTCCCACTATTGTTCTCGGACCCCGTGGGGACATTGCCCGTTCCTCAGAACGAGCTAGTGGCAATTCAGATATTGCGTCGCTTCCAGAACAACTGCCTAATGCAAGTGATCTAGAAGCTGTCACGAGGGCCCGAATCAAGGATGTGTGTAAGACCAAACCCGCTCTAAAAGCGATTCTCACCGAAGACAATATCAAGCTTCTGCTAGAAGGCATCCGTGGAAACTACAAAAACCTCGAGGCTAAGATTACGGAGATCAACGCTTGCGACACCAAAGGGAAGGTTCAGGACGTCATTAACAACACCAGCGCCGACATGGATACCGTTCAAAGGAACAGACTCAAAACGCTGGATGCTTTGCTGAATTCACGTCAGGCTCACGTGCTCAATGATCTTCTTGTTTGGGTTGCTGGCCTGAGTTACCAACCACCGACTAAGCTACTCGAAAGCGTTCTTTTCTACAATTTTGGCGAGGAATTTCTCCTTGCTGATCAAATTGCTACCACTTATTCACCCGTACTCGTAATTGACAAGGAGGGCAGAGTAGGGTTGAAAGACGGCCTCAAAGACATCCTGTCCGTGAGCGACTCCTCAGGCTCCGAATCAGCGATCTCTCAATTACATGCCGAAGCAATCAGCGGAGCTGAAGTCAACCTCTGTCGCCGGTTCATAAAAAATGCGTGCGACCCGACAGATTACGCCAGATTCAGATTTGACGACTTCTTCCAGGCTATGGAACAGAAAGTCCATATTCATCTTGACAGTGGAAACGACGTGAACGTTACAATTCTCGAAAAATGTGTTGATGCTCTTTTCGACAGTCGGAAAGAAGACAAGCTTGAAGAACTGCGCGACTATGCTTCGAAGTGGTTCTACTCGCATCTCAAGGATCTGGTAGAGGCGCTCGATGACTTTGAGCCGAGCAGGAAATTTCTCATTGACATCGGAGTCAAGCTGGTCGATTTGATCTACGACCCAAAGATGATCGACTCGTGGTTTTCCGAGAAAAGTCTGTCTTGGCTGAAGTACGACTTTTTGTATACAGAGGACTTCATCGATCCTTTACTGAAGTTATTGAAGAATTCGCAAGTGGCCAAAGGCTATGCAAGAGATGCAGATAAGAGCACATGGGTTAAGGCTGCCATGTCCGATACCGCAAACAAATACTCTATCTTCGAACGCGTCGCAGCACGCTTGGCAAGTCATTGGTTTAGCTCGACTGGAATAACAGATAGAGACTATCTTTGGATCTCTTACGGCATGGTTGCCAAGGTAAGTACGCTCTATCAGTGGTAAAGGGTTGGCTGACACCAGTGAAAAGATGCTTACTCCTGAGAAACCTTTCGAGGAATGGAACCCGCCTTCTCTTGCGGAGGTAGACAAGTTCATTAGTTGGGTAAAGGAACACACAGAGACCAACATTGACAGCTTCACTTGGGACTATCGGGTAGGTGCAGCATACATCGGCTTTGAACATCACAAAGAAGCCATCGTTGCGCTGGAGAAAGCCGAGCAAAACTCCCAGAAAAGTTGGGGCCTTTACGTCAATCTAGCCAGAGCCCACGAGAGCGAAAAGAATCATCGCATGGCACTCAAGTACATACAAGACTTCAAATCGTTCGGCGACCCATCTATCGAGGCAGAGGATGGCTACAAGGATACCTACTATGACTTGCTCCTACTGGAAGGAACTTGTCATCGAGAATGTCATGACCATGAGTCCGCTGTCAAGTCATTTCAAGAACTTCTAGGCCAAGTCGTCGACGAAGACTCCGGAATGAGTTGGACCCACATTCGTGCTGTTGCGGAACTGTTCACGACCTGGTCAGAAATGAAAAACTATCAATCCATCACGAACTTTATTCTCAACCGGAAAGACGCGCCAGCGCAAAGTCATGATACCACTTATTTGTTGCGGGAAGCGGCATATTATGAGGATTTGCATACAAGCATCATCGTAGCTGCGAAATATGCTGGAGTCGTAGAAAAGGTCATCTCCGTGTACCAGGAAGCCATTGATTACAAGCCGTTAGACCCATCCACAGCAGATGGGCCGAAAATAGACAGCTCTGCTGAAGCAACAGAATCACTGCGGTACTTCCAAGCCGTTCTCAGGTTCCACGGAAGTGAACATCAGCATGATCAACATCGGAGCATACAGTACTGGGAAGAAGTTGTCCGGCGATCTGATGAAATCTCAGCGTCGTACACTACAGCATACACTGCTAGCCGCAAGCTAGCTTCGATTCTTCTTGATAAGGCAGTCGCTGAACTCGCAACAGCTTCATCAGACTCCTCCGAGAACTACATCAACAGATTGGAGAAGCTCGCTAATTTGAACACCACGTTAATCTGCGATCTTCGTCAAGGTTATCTCGACCCTCGCCTCTGCTTGGCTAGATTATACCACCTGAAAAAAGACCAAGCTTCAGCTTTCGTACAGGTGCGGGCTCGACTTTGTAGTGTCTTCGATAAGTGGCCTGAAGTTCCAGGGGATGATTCGTCTCGCCTTCGTTTCTCGAACCTTGCCCAGACGCTGACTGTCCTTGACAAAGACATCGATGCTGTTGCAGCATGGCAAGCAATCAAACCATACCAATTGTCGAATGCCTCGACAGTGGATGCGAATGGTGCAGACATTGAACAGCTTGCGCAACCAGGCCTTGAAGTTCCAGGCGCCGATGGTACGTCAACGACTTCTGACAAGAAGGTACAAGACGATCAAGACGCATCCAAGCCAGACACAACGACAGCCAAGGCGTACATATGGGGTTATACATGCGATGGGAGCTGCGGAATCGAATGGAAAGATATGTTAGTCGACTGTTACGTGTGCAAGCACTGTCTCTGCAGGCAATTTTGTCCAAAATGTTACGATAAGCTAAAAGCCGGCGACTTACACCCTCTGATCTGCAACAAGGACCACAAAATGCTCCGGTTACCGCCCTTCGATTGGGCCAAATGGCGTACTATACCGGCAGGCATGATGACCCTGGACAGCCAGCTAGTCCCCTGCACGGAGTGGGTAGACAGGATTCGTAAGGAGTACGATGTGGAACAAACACAGATTGATTACATCAAGATCGAAAAGGCGAGGCAACTGAAAGCTGCTAGTATCATTGTGGGAAAATGGCGCAGTAGGTTGAAGAGAATCAGGGCCAAAAAACCGGCGATAGCACCTACACTTCGCCGAGTGAAGACGGTCGGATAGGCACCTCGTGCGAGTTGTCCAGTCTTTTTCGCATGGAGCGCTTTGAGTTTTCCGAAATGATGACATTTGACTGACAGAAGAAAAATGAAGCGCGGTGTGAGGGCAAATTTTGGCGATCGTGCGAGTTTCGGTGCCACATTACTATCTACTCAAAACTCGTAGCTAGGTATGGTAGTTTCTGAGCTCCTACCTTTTATGAAAGTATGCACTGCTATACAGCGAAAGTTTGATCGTGGAGCCCACCAAAAATCATGCTGAATTGTGGGAAATATCGGTTGCGATGATGAGGTCATTGGGCAGTTCAGGTTGTTTTCCATTGGCCTGTAAGGGTCTGGACGCCTTGCGCATGCTCTACCCGTGCCTGGTATCTTATCCCGCATGGGCTTACCCTCTTTCCGCATCTATTTGAGCCATGCATTAGTCTTGTTACACGAGTGACAAGGTCATGTGCACTTTCACTTTGCCACAGATAGGCCACCATGTCATCAGCATCGTTCACGATCCTCCTCGCTTGAACACAACTGCCCATTGCGATGGGCCGCGGTGGATATAACGGTGGTAGTGCATCTGTCGACGCGCCAAAAAGCGGCAATCCTTACATCTTCGCGGCGGACCGAGAGCTAGACGCCAACCTTCTTCGTCGCTCACGTATCGTTGAGGCTGGAGACGGGTTACACAACGAGCACGGCGCCGTGCAAAGCGAGTTCGGATACATTCTCAGCGTGGAACCAACAGTAAATAGCAAGCAACCCGCGCGAGCCAGCTTTGTGAGAAGAATTCTCTCCATTTTCAGAAAGACGGACAGGGCTAGTAGCAAAGTCAAGCCAAACATCAAGTGGGTGTCAGCGTCGCATCTTTACCACACAGCTCCTGAGGGCTTGGGCTTGGACCTGGCGAATAAATATCACCTGGAAAACCCGGAAGCACCAACACCTTGGGGTGATCAATACTGGAGGTACGAATACAACTAGTCAAGTAAGAGTAGGGCCACAAGCAGAGTGCAAGAATGCAGCAAGAGAAGCATGCACCGGACTCGCCATGGCGACATCGGCGGTTTCCACCTGATGCTTCTTCCGAATTACCTTGGGACGATCAATTTCGGCAGCCAGTACTATCGCACGATCGGTGGAAGAGTCGAGTCGACTTCAATGCCTTCATCAACTCAATGGACGATGAGTCTTTTGGATATCTGTGTTTGGTACGCGAGTATGCGACTCGCGCTCTGCAGGGTAAAGCGGCAGAATATAGTGGGCTATACAAGGCCATTGTGTCTCAAACGTCTCGAGAAGAAGACATGTCTCGTATGTCGGTCATCGAATTCGAGGCTGACGGGCTACGCTCGAGGACTTTTCTAACTTTTGACGACTTTTTGATCTATGTGCATAAATCTTTTGAAGAAGGAGAGACGTCTTCGAGGCGCTTGTTCGTATTGGAAGACATGCCTGTGCGGTATATTTGTCTTCTAGGGTCAAGACTACGCATCCATCCTACGGTTTTTGCACGCCATTATAGCACCGAGGAAAGTAGCACCATATCAGACAACATCATTGGTCTTCCTTCTGTCGTCCAGACTAGTACGGAGAACGGCCTAGACTACGAGAGCGACGATGAACAGCTCCATAAGCCATATAAGAGACGAAGTTTTACGCTGAGGTATCCCATCGTCATGCCACGAGTATCTGCAAAGCAAAATCCCGACCCAATTAGATGTCCACCATGGCTCAAGCCTAACGACAGACTCAGAGACCAAAGCGCCAATCCACGATTCATAGTGGAGAGGAGCCTGGAAACACCGACCAGCTATGATCCATGGGATACGAGAGGCGAGATTTCTGAACTAGAAGGTCAGGTCACTTATTGGTACCGTGAGATTGCAGAAAAGGGCTGGGAAGGTGAGTCTAATTTTGAGCTTCGTTCTTAGCTCAGTATACTTATAGTTGACTATGTAGGTCTTCTGCTGGTGGATCCATGTCTCAAAGACCCATCGCACCTAGCTGTTATCGAGGGCAGCCCATACACGAATATCAGTCGAATAATCCGGTATCCAGAGCTGGAGGATGAGGGAAAAGCTGACATAGCCCTTAACCCGCTACAGTGGCATCCCAGTGCCGCCTTCACGAAGTATGTCTTGCACGACGATGTCATGATTCATTTTTCCGTCGCCAACGCTGGTCCAGGAGGAAATCCACTCTCCGTGACTCCATTCGTCCGTGGCTTTGTTATTAGCAAATGGACTGCGCAATTGAACCACATTCGCAGAAGCTATAGTCATACGCGTGCAGCGCTCTTCTCCAAAGTACCATCGTGTCATCGCGTAGGTACAGGCATTTCGGTCAGACATACGGTGCTCTGGGGAGCAGACTGGAAAGAGTGGATGTTTGAAACAATGACGCGGTTTACGACGGACCTTTACCTATACCGTTTGGAGGTTGAGACCAACATGCGTGCACTCGGTATCGATGTCGACGACCCTCAAAGTTATGGATTCGTCGGTAAACGGGAGGCACAAATGTGGCGGTTTCTGCGTTCCACCTGTCTCGATTTGCAGGATATGTTCCAACAATTAACCAACTCATATACACAGGTTATTGCGCTGAGGGAGGCGCAGGCGAGTAATGCGCAAGCAAGCTCGATTCGCTGGCTTACTGTACTGGGAACCCTCTTTGTTCCTATATCTATCGTTGCAGGAATAATGTCAATGGGAGGCGAATTTTTGCCGGGAGAGAAGAAGTTCTGGGTGTTCTTCGCTGTGGTGTGCCCTGTGTTGCTGGTCATTGGCGTCGTTCTTGTTGTGACGCTCGGGTGGCGGGCAGTGTCAAATTGGCTATGTGCTCACGGCTTCATGACTTGATGCGATAAGAGGTCGAAAACATCTCTAGTTTGTTGTCTCAACAACATTGTACCAGGCGTTAGGCTTTCTTCAGCTCAAGTTTTGACTAGAAGGTGGTATACCAATCTTTGTGTACACAATCACACCCACCCAAGCCGCTTACCCAGGAAACTTGACCCACCAAGAAGTGCGGTAATACCAGTGAACACGATTAGCGTGCCATAGCCACTACCATACGCAAAGCCAGCTTCCCCACGCCACGGATAGCCATCGATCAAGGCCTCGCTGAGCGGACCCGACGCCACGTTGCCAACGCCTCGTCCTGCCGCCAGGCATGCAAAGACAATACTCGGATCGGCAGTGTCGCTCTTCTTGGTAACATCGCGCATGATTCCTGGCCAGGCACTTGTGAAGCTCCCTGCGAAGAAGCCGTAGATCAGGCAGAAGATATACAGTGGAGCCAGGGAGTTGGAGAAGCCCCAGATGACGAAGACGCTGATGGTGGTGCCGATAGTAGAGATTAAAATGCAGGTTGTGACGTGCCATTTGTCTACTATCGAACCCATAGCAACGCAGCCGAAGACAGAGGCGACGTTGAAAAGGATCACAGTCAAGGCGCTAAGGGTGTTACTTTCGACGCCTATACTGCGAGCAAATGTAGGGAGGTAGATAAATGGGAGAAAGAAGCCGAGAGCTTCGACGATATTGCATGCTTGATGAACTCCGAACGTTGACGTGCGGAGAAAGGCGAAGTCGATCTTGCGAGCGCGTTGCTTGGGCCCAAGTGGGATACGCGGTCTGACGAAGTAGAGTAGCGGGGCGGTGAGCATGAATAGACAGATAGCCCATACGCGTAAGGTAGTGCGAAAGCCGTATGTGTGCAGCATCCCGTCCATAACAAGGGGTACAGTACTAGGTCAAAAGTTTTGCAACGCCAAGCTGCCGAAGCGCCGAACCACCATTTTGGGCAATGCTGTTTTGGGTAGATAACTCACCCAAAACAACATTTTTTTCAATGTTTCAAAGCAGGATTTCATTGTCGATAGCTAGTACCTTGTATGCCACCCTTTGGCTTTGATACAAGCTTTAAGGC